ATAACTCACAAGTCATTACTGAAAACGACCCTCAAGGTTGCTCATACTACTGGTATTATTTGTGTATTAGTACAATTGGTTTCCTTTAACCAGTTAATTACAATCGTCTGTACGAAGCTGAGCGTTTCAGCGTTAGCGATCTATAAAACATGTCCGGAGAGTAAATCTATTTTACATTTCCTTCGAAATTATTCTTGGTACTCCTTTCTAACGCCACATGTTATGAATTTCATAACATGTGTTTTTTGATAGCTTTTAATGGTGTACGTTAACATAATTTGATTTATTCAAGTTAAGATTATTATTTCGCAGATTGTTTTGTAGCACAATTTAAACCAAACTAGATATCTGTGCTTTTCAAATACAAGAGCAGTACTTCATACTGATAAAAATCGTTTTTGTGACGTATTGAATTGTATTCCATATCTATTAGGGATGTCAGGTTTAAACTATTGATTTAAAAAGCTTGAAACCCTGTTAAACGTTTTAAACAATTTATAAAGAAGCTAAATTGTTGCCAATGAAGGCATGTTTGTGATTTATTTTACATTTAGGCACTTGTTTATATATTATTATATATACATGTTTTACAATCAATAAGTATGTCTAAGATATCAATTGTCACCCAAGTTGCGTATAGGTCTGTGCTTTATTTAGAATACAGTACAGTGTACAAAAATGTAGGAGGAAACTCCCCGGTTTTAAAGTATTTCATTTTGAAATTTATTTCTTAGGAGTACGCTTTTAAGGTAGGTGGACTTTGTAACCATTACATAGGATTTATTTATTCTCTGTTGTTTTTATTTGTAATATCAATAAAGATGGCCCCATAGTAAAATTGGTATGTTTGTGTATTTCCGAAACCGAAAGTAGTTACGTTTTATTATCTATCACTTATAATTTATGTTTATTATCAACAAAAAGAAGAACGCCCAAAACGACTAAATTGAAAATATTGCTGGCTTTGTTTGCTTTAAAAAAAGGCATTTTCAAGGGCAGTAGAAGTACCGTTCCGTAGCACCGGCCTAATCAGTATTCAACATTATACATAATATATGTATAAGCATTTCCAAAAATGACATCTTGTTACTGGTTTCCTTGCAGTTTCCGGGCTTTATCATTTTCACCCAGTACAGTCTATTTTTATCAGCTAAGCATCTATGTTACTTCATCAATCAGAGAAACATTTTTTTCTATGCAAAACAGCCGTTAAAATAGTACAGCGATTGATGTGTTTTTAAGTTTTTCCTCTTTTTTAAAGTTTCATAACATAACTTGACACATTTAAAAATAAGCAACACCTGGGGAATTCTAGTTTAAATGCTCATGCACAATAACTTAAATCCCATTCTAGGTAAATCAATACTTTTAACCAAATTCAACATATTTGCTGACGACACGGAAAAGGTTGAGAATTTATATTTAATTAAAAAAACATCTTAAGTTTGCTGACTGGTACTTAATTATATTCAAAATAAAAAGGTCCGAAAAAAATTAGAAAAGGTGTAACATTTCAAGCCTTTATTTCAATTAAAAGTAAAATTAAAGAGCAATATTAATAACATGGAAATGCTTGAAAGTTACCTAACTTTGTTCTGCCAAAGTTTTTTACACTGCCTTAGACAGATTTTTATTTTATTTGTCAAAAAGTGCAATTTGGAGCCGGAAACTGCTAGGAAACCAGTACAGCTACCAGATGTTATTACTGACATTATTTTGTATATTAACCGACTCTGTCATTTTGTATATTAATATTATTCACTTCTCAGGTGATCACGATCATATTATGAAATGTTTACTATTGATATGTATATATACATGTATATTACCTGATCCGCATACGTTTGAAATATAACCGATAATTGGTAAGCGATATCTTTTGTGTAAGTGGCCTCGTTCATTAAATGATTTATAAGCATTATTATATTTTTGGTCATTGGAGATTGTTGAGCACGACATTATTGTTGTGCTTTGTGGTAATTTAGTTTTTTCTATTTGGCTTTGTCTAGTTATTTGTTCCTCACTTGAATTCTGTTAAATTACCCTAGGATATGTTACCTTCATTTAAATATAATTTTGACAGTTTATCTATGCCTCCGAACTACTTTAAAAATTCATTTTATTCAGTTTCGCCCATTGTTTTCCCGTTTAGGGCACATGCATTATTTACGTTAGGACCATGTAATGCTTAGCATGGAATAGCAATAACGTATCACATTGGAGATTATATGGTACGTCGCAATATTTCACCATTTCACATTAAATTTGGCTTAAGCCGGTGTGTGGATTTCAGTACCGTCCATGAAAAGGTTGAATCATATCGTATCTGCAAAATTTTCAATTTTGCCGTTGGGGTGCTCTCCTGAGATTTTTTATAGTTCTCTATTATATTTTGAGTATTGCTAGTACTTGCTTTAAACACAAAGTGCGTTTTTTCTGAGACGGGTGAGGAGGAGATGGTTACAATTTCAAGAGTCTCTCTTTTCATTGCCTTCGTGTAAAGAGGTAATATTATATAAAATTAATAAAATAATATAATATAAATATTATATTATGCCTGGGGATTAAACATAATGACCGGGGTCATTTTTATTAAATAATACAGACTCAACGATCATAACTCTGTAGTAAAGATAACACGTTTTCTTAGATAATGCACAAAATGTTGACATAAACAAATTAGACATTTGAATCAAACACTAGTGAACTAATGCAAAAATTATTACGATGTGCTTAACGTAATCACAGTGTCCGTTTGTCCATTGGTTTGAAATATTGTCTGTTGTAATGATATAGAGTTACTGACACCCATGACATTAAAAGGTATAAAGCTATATCTTGTGAAATATTTTTTAAACGCTATTGATAGTAAAATTATATTGTTTATGTAACTTATGGTCGATTTTCAAAAGGATTGTATCATTGAATGTCTCTGTTCTTAAATACATATGAACAGAATAAAATATTCCGTGTGTATAATAACGCGACACCGGAACAAGACATTATTTTGCTATGTTCAGCAGGGTTTTATCCATTTAGCAATGATTTTGTGTTTGCACATTCGCTTTTAAGACACTTTGATATCATATCTATATCATACAAGTATTTTGGAAGTAGTCATTTTTAAAAAATTAAATAGCACGTTTTGCAAAAGAAATATAGCTTTGTACACTCAAAATGTAACCTCATTTCTATGTATACATACTTAATCCTGTTGAAAAATAACATAGCCTCAGAAAGAGTTTAGACACACTGTGTCTCCATCTTCCCTGAAACTTGTATAATATTGATCTCGGTAAGATTTCCGAAGAAAAAAAGATATCTTTATCATAAAATACATTGAAATATAAGTTGAAACATATCTTTTTTAAGAGACTTGAATAATAAAAATGTTGTCTTAATAAACCATTTCTGTATAACTGTAAGTGGGTAAAAGGTGTGCGTTGTAGCCAAACATTTCTAAAACATAGACAAAATTTCTCGTCTATACCATGGTTCAACCTCCTTGGTGTGCTCTCGATGTTTTCTCCAAATATATTGGATCTCGCCACGCTCCACAATTAAACATGACTGCCCAGAATCTTCTCTATAAAGGATTTGGGTTACCCTGGCCTTTGACATATTTTCCTCAAAATAGCTGTAGATCTCATTTATGTACACGCAGATATGAAATTTAAAGATCCTAAGGAAATGTTTTCATAGTATGATCAAGTTTATTTTTTTGGGAAAAGGTCACGGTTAATCTTGACCGTTGTCTAGTGGCTTTAAAAGCGGCTTAATTATGATGTACATCACATTGAGTTACATGCACATATGAAGTTTGAAGGTCATTTTGTAGAAATGTAGAAAGATTTTTCTCCGAGATCGGTTTGACTTTTTGTAATATTTACAGTGAAAAAGTGAATATTAGAAGGATTTTCATTGGTCATTTTAAAATTACAAACTGAAATCAGGGAATATCATTGGCCATTTAAAACTTAGTATAATAATCTAAAGGATCTTTCTGAAACGTATACACGTCCAAATTATAAGATTATCTTAAGGAGTATCGGAAATAAACTTTCCAGTTACATTTCTCGAATTTAGATGTTTCAAAATTATTTATCTTCCTCCGAATAAATATTTTACACACTAGTTTCAATTTTTTCATGAATTCTATCGTGAATATTTTATTTAACTTAAGAATTAAACAAGTTATAAATGACATTCTTAAATGTCTACCAATAACGTTTTCGGTAAAATATGTGCATGCCGAGACACCATGCAAGTAAAAGAACTTTGCCTCGTCTGAGTATCTTTTTAAAGATACTACTTGTTTATTTTATGAGCAACGTTAAAATTTTGGGACAGACAGAATGACTTTCAGACAGACAGAATGACAGACAGACAGACAGCCCAAGACAATACACCCCATTACATTTGATACGAAGGGCATCAGAAGATTTTGCAGGTAGAATTTATTTAAATTTGTAAAACTCTAATAATAGATGCTAAAGGTAAACAAAACCTAGCAAAGTGTGCATAATTAAAGCAATCCTAGCACAATATGGAAAAGACAAGTGCACTTATGTCTTTAAAGCTTATTTTGAATCACTGTTAAGTATGTTTCCCCTTATAGGTGTCATATGAAGAAATATAGTCCAGACCCAATAAGGCTCGAACCAACGATCCCTTATTAAGAGACACACACCAAAACCACTCTTAAAATGTTACCATAGGTTAAGATTAAAATCTCTCTCCTCTGCAATATCAAACCCTTATCTTGTAAATATATTATACAAAACTTTACTAGCATTATATTATTTCTAGACGACAATCCATAAATAAAAATTGTTTTCGATGATATAATTTATTTATGTTTATTTTTCAGTCGTTTTTAGGAGTAAAACTGCTGATAAAGTGGACATTTTTACTCACTAAATTTCAAATGATACAATAATATCATACATAATTAAATATAGATAAATTAGTGAATATTTTTTGGTTTATTAATAATTTAAATAGTTTTGTTTTGTTGTCAGAAAATCCTGACACGGTGAAAGCATGGCATCGTCCCAAAGCATCTGCTCTGAGAAAAAAGAATTGGACAGACTTCACAGGTTACTTATGACAGACATTGCTAATTGTCTAGATCAAATTAGCACCGAATGTGATAATTTATTTTATCACATAAAAGGCATTGTGGGTCAAGGATTATTTTCAGAAAAAAAATCTGTACTAGATAAACTTTCAACTTTGGAGACAAGGGGAATCATTCAGCCTGGTAAAAATTACGAAATGTTGATTCAAATCTTTGAAGACAGTGGAAATATTAGTACGAGGGATATGATTATAAGACATGTACAGGAAATGGATGAGTTTCGAAAGCAAATTCACGAAAAGGGTATGTATGGGAATAAATTCAATTGGAACTTCGATATTCTACTAGTATACTCCAATAAGAGGAAACAAAATTTTCTTGGCCTGCATTGTATAATGTTGAACAACTCTATTACTTTTTAAGCACTTACTTTAATGATACTTTCAAACTTGATTGTCATCGTAATTGCTATTTTGGAATTTATTTTCCATGCGACTATTTGATTTTGAGTATTGTCTCTCGATCTTAAAAATATTGCTTAAAAAAATGAATTTATCAAGATAGATAATTTCAACTTATTGTATATCCAATAATCAGAACATGATGCATACAAAGCAGGAGTATGTAAGGTTAAGACAATGTTGAACAGCTGTGCGATTTCAATTTTTGATTTGTTATTATGTTGACATAATTATATACATTATTTCAAAAAAGCACTTGTTGCTATGATTATTGAATTTATTACGGTAATCATTCAACTAGGAAAAAACAGAAGTGATCCAATTCAGTCGCCTGGAACGGAATCAAATAGTGACGATTCTCTTCCATGTACAGAACAGAACCAAGTTATAGAACAGCAAATGAAGAACATTTCGCATACGCAATCGGTTAAGAAAAGAAAATCTAGTGGTAATTATAATAGTTATAAAGTATAAATGGTGGCAATTTTTAGGAATTTTCAATTCTAAACTACCAATTTAAGAGGAGGAAGCATACTGTGATAGAATGGTCCGTTAGTCCTGGCACGTATTTAATGTTATCCTTACCCGGTCAATTTCTTGAGAAGGTATTAACCGTTGTATATATTTCTTGGCTCTGGCATTGCTCATTACCAGTTACTGATTCCTCTCAATTTTGAGTTTACTGGTTTCAATAGTCATAGTTATAATGACACTTACTTTGTCCGATCATTGATTTGAGGTATTATAATAAGTCTTGGTACAATGTAGGTAAAACGCACATGGCCAATGGATAATCTACAGCGATGCTGATTTTATCCGGTTTGAGATCAAAGTTACAGTGACACTGTGAAAAATCCTTGTCCGATCAATAACTTAAGAAATAATTGAAGAAACATTATTCATGGAAAGAAAATGACTCCTATTGATTTTAATGCCATTAGGTTTTGGGTTAAGGTAACAGTGTAAAATCCTTTTACAACGAATAACTAAACAAATGAGGCTAGATTTGTAAAACTTGATAGGGTCATTGCTTGACTCATCAATAACTGTGTTCTGAATAGGTTAGGCTTGTTTTAATTATATTTTCATATAAGTAACCTATTTGGGTGATGTATCACACATAACATTCATAAAATATGCATAAGTATGTAAATCTGCCGTTGTGAGAACATTTCAAGTTTTTAAGTCTCCTACCAGTGAAAAAGTTCTGGCTATCAAGTGCGTCCAACTTTTCCAAACTTTCGTGAAAATAGCCCAACTGTTTTCCCTTTTTTTCTTTACAAAGAAGTTTGAATCCAGTGTTTTGATTAACAGTCATTTTGTTTGATTATATATGTAATTTCATCATAATAATATGAGTTTATTGTAGACTACACTTGTAGACTGTCGATTTGATTCTTTGCAATAAGTGTAGACCTGAAGGGTGCTTCATTGTGGTTACGTGTCAAGATGTTGTAATTCATTTTGAAGACTGTCTGTCAGTAAAATGTAAGTTGGTAACAATAAATTTATTCTACATAATTTCGTCAAAGTTTCAATGAAGGATGCCTCTATACAGCACAATTAGCTATTATCATTCCCAAAGTTGCTTATTGTTCAGGGGAACACTCACCATGTACTATTATTTATTTGGCACTGCATGGTTAGTGATACGGGACATTGTTGGCATTGCTCATGTTATTGGCTTGATGAATCTTCATTATGATTCCGTATGCTGTGTAGCAGTTTTCTTTTCAAAAGTTTCACTAACATAGTTTAAAGGAAATTCACTGAGGTCCAAAATCCCAAATACTTAAGTATGACAATTATGATACTCATTTTCCAATCATTGATATTAAAAACTTTTCAGCATTAATAAAAAACTACCTAAAAAGACTGCCCCTTTCTTTTTACAACTGAACGTTCCTATACATTCTGAAGGATATTTATAATAACATTCTGTAAGTCACTTGGTTTTATTGCTTATTCACATATGAAAAAAAAATGAAATTGAAAACAATTATTATTGCAAAATAACAAGATTATTATTTATTGGCACTCACCATTTACACTTGGATGGGCATAATGTCGTTTAAGATATAATATTTCCAGATTTAACATGATTATCATGTAGATCTATATTCATGATGGAAAACAAAGTAAATTGTTTGTTATCATTAACCTTTGAATTATATTGGAAAATTAGGATAAACTTAGTATCTTTTAATACAGCCTTTGCATAATATTAAATCACCTAAGGAACTGTGTGTATATTCTCTTTTGCTCTAAGCGTATTCTTCACAATGTATTGGGTACATCAAATAGAATTATTCGCATATTAGAATAAATATACCGAGTATTTAGTTCTGCAAAGCATGATTAAAATTAGCCGAATTTCTATTACAGTTAAGTTATACTTATAAAAATTGTCTCACAGACAAACAAAATTTAATGTTTGCTAACTGCAGTGGCCTTTCTGTTAATATTCATTTGTAACTTTTTGTTATTAACCAAGTACATGGGTATTTATAGTCTAGGCCTGTTTTTATGCCCGAAAGAATTCCGGGCATATTATGTTATACCCCCTGGCGTCCGTCTGTCCGTCTGTTAGCAATTTGGTTTCCGGAGCATAACTTAAGTTCCATTTGGCCCACAGTGTTCAAACTTCATAGGATGATTGTCCATATTGGGTAGAAGACCCATATTGGTTTTGGGGTCACAAGGTCAAAGGTCAAGGTCACTGTCACCTTAAAACTGAAGACAGTATCCGGATCATAACTTAAGTTCCGTTTGGCCTACAGTGTTTAAACTTCATAGGATGATTGTCCATATTGGATAGAAGACCCCTATTGATTTTGGGGTCACAATGATAAAGGTCAAGGTCACTATTACTTTTAAAGTGAAAACGGTTTCCGGAGCAAAACTTAAGTTCCATTTGGCCCACAGTGTTCAAACTTCATAGGATGATTGTCCTTATTGGGTAAAAGACCCCTATGGATTTTGGGTTTGCAAGGTCAAAGGTCAAGGTCACTGTTACTTTAAAAATGAAAACAGTTTCTGGAGAATAACTTAAGCTTCATTTGGCCCACAGTTTTCAAACTTCATAGGATGATTGTCCATATTGGGTAAAAGACCCCTATTGATTTTGGGGTCACAAGGTCAAAGATCAAGGTCACCATTACTTTAAAACTGAAAACAGTTTCTGGAGCATAACTTAAGGTCTATTTGTCCCACAATATTCAAACTTAATAGGATGATTGTCCATATTGGGTAGAAGACCCCTATTGATTTTTGGGTCAAAGGTCACTATTACTTTAAAACTGAAAACAGTTTCCAGAACATAACTTAATTTCTATTTGGCCCATAGTGTTCAAACTTCATAGGATGATTATCCATATTGGGTAGAAGACCCCTATTGATTTTGGGGTCACAAGGTCAAAGTTCATGGTGGCTATTACCTCAAAACTGAAAATAGTTTCCAGAGCATAACTTAAGTTCCATTTGGCCCACAATATTCAAACTTTATAGGAAGGTTGCTATTTGAGGGAGGTAATACTTTATTTAATTTGTGTAATGTTTTCATCCTTACTAAAAAGAAAAACACTTTCGGGCATATAATGTTCCGCCTAGCGGTACTTTTGTTCTACAATGTCTTAATCTCAACATTGCATGTGTTACACTAATTAAAATGTATTTTATATCTATTCTTAAGTGTTTACTGTAAGCTTTATGAATGTTTCAAGTTTTGGAATAGACACTGTACAGAGATCCTATATTGTTTGCTTTACGTAATGTGTATACTATATGCATAATTTGAATGTTAATATTTTAATATTTATTCATCTTAAATGTGAAAATGGGATGACTTAATATAAATAAAACACTAACTTTTCCAGGTTGTGAACCTCCATTATATGCCAAACAAACCAGACTAAAGCACCCTATAGGTCTACATCTTGCCTGTTAACAAAGATTTCATAGGCTAAGTACAAACATAAAAGGTTAATTTTACCATTATGAGGGTAAGAAAAAGTTCCTAGTATCCCTACTTTTTAGAGTAAAAGCCCTACTTTAGCCCTACTTTTAAAAATGGCCAGCCTCCCTATTTTAACCTACTTTTTCAACTGGGATCACTTGACAGCCTACTCTTTATGGGGACATTTCCCTCGGGGATCAGTCAGGACATCGGCAGCTGGTTTTCGTAGCATGAACGTATAGCTTACTCCCCAACGCAATGTGGAAGAAGTTTGACTTCCTGGATCTGTATTCTATGCATGGGTCCGACCATGCCCTAAATCTTCTGTGTTTTTACCTCTCAACAACATGTTTGTACCGACGGATTGTAATTTTATAATAATGACATAAACGGACATATAATGTATATGATTTCTTTATACATACTAATCCTAAAATAGACTGTCAACTGAAAGCCTACATAGGACCAGTATGAAGTTGCTTTTCCAGTTTTATTATAGTAAATATCTTTTAAAGACTTGAAAATACAAAAGGTAATTACACAAAAAAATGTAGAATTTAGAGGTCTCTTTAACGAGACTCAAGTCATGCATGTACTAGGTACTATTAACATGTTGTTTTCAATACTCTTTTTTTCTGTATTAATTCAACCAATAAAAAAACAATAATAATTATTATTATCATCATCATCATCATTATTATAAATGTTAAATTTATAATATTCACTTTTGAAGGGAATGCAAGCCAAGGCTCACACCAAAAAAGAAAGTTAACACATGATTCTCCAGAACCAGAATTCCAACCAAGACCAAGTACGAGCAAGAGTGACTTCAGTCGGGAAGACGCAATACAAAATGCATATTCAGGTACTATTACTTAAGAGTAACAGTTTCATAAGTTTGGCAAGATACATTTTCCAAGAATTATTGCCAATTTAGAGATATAATTTGGTGTTAAATAAAATTTCAGTCAGCCGTCTCGGTTACAAATTGGATTTTTCTTGAAGCTATATGAATATATTTATATATATGATTCTATAAAAAGTTCTGTTGACTCTGTGTGGACCAATGAGATTGCAGCTATATTTAAATCATATCACAAATTAGATATAATCACTATTGAACTTATTAATATCAACACAATTCAAAAGTTGCTTTCTGTATGGGTGGTTTAAACAAAATTCATTTCTTCCTCAATACTTTCGAAATAAAATTATAATGCATAATTACAACCAGAATTGAGTAGAAAGTTTAAAGCATTTATAAAACTCTCTCCTGAGGTATGCTTGCCGCCTTGTCATTCTCACAAATAATCTTGAAAAGCATGCAAAGACTTTCCGAGAATTATTTACAAAAAGGGTTAAGATACAATGTTTACAATACATCAATTCATTTCTTACAATTTGATTTATAATACTCTTTTACTTACTGTCATGTATGTATGTCCCGTACTTCACTTCAGTGCTGTTATATTTTTTCTGGTCCTGCGGAATCCTTGATTCAAGGATTTTAAGTGTTGAAAATTGTGTGATGTGAGAGACGCTGCACCTTTTCATTTTTCCTTATGTACAGACATAATCAAACCGAGTCTGCAATTTTCATGTAATTTTGTTGTGATCAATGCTTCCGAGGGATCAACCTTTCTGCAGTTTTCACCTTGCATTTGCGCAATGCCAGCACAAGGTCGTTGTTTACGCATTCCCGTGTTACCAGCATACTGCAGCAATTGACTTCCATATATATATAGTTGATGATTTTCATACAATGGTCTCAATGCATGTTATTCAATGCCATTTTATTGTTTAAATATATCCACTTGAGGTGAAATGAAATTTCGTCTTCTTAAAGTACACTGACGGTTTCATTAATCTACTTATGTCTATTTATGAATCATATAACATTTTTTTATTTTAATCATATAAAAATGAAATCATTTTATAGATTATGATATTATAATATTCATATTTGTAGAGGATGCAGACCCGCCTAAAAAAAGAAAGTATACACGTGAATTTGAAATAACAGATGCACCACCGACACCTAGAACAAGCAAGTTTGACTTTGGCCCAAATAGAGGAGTAGAAAATGCATGTCCTGGTATTTAAGTTTAGCCTTTTATATAATACTTGGATGTTGATTATTTTATAAAACAGATATAAAGCATAATTATGAATACATGTTACTAAGTCTCAAAGTTTACTCTAAAATGTTTTTTTAAAATTTTTACTTATGATGATATATCACGATAATTACTTACAATAACAAAGTCAGTTGTCCATTGTTTAAGCCTTTAACTAAAGTCATTCTTTAATCTCAATTCGATGTGCTAATGAAGACAATAACTTTAATTTGAATTTCGTTCGTTTCCGTATTACATATACTTAAAAGATACACTTTTGCCATCCATTGTTAACTCATCTGCCCAACCAAACCAAAATTTGTATCCAATGGATTTTGAAAATCCAGAACAAAATTTACAGTGATAGTGGCTTTATAATTTACATCAGTCTGGTTTTACTACTGTTTTAGTTATGATGATAACAAATGCGCTACATTTCCTAACCGAATTAACCAAACGATTAACGAAACCCCAGCAAATCGCGACATAATATTATATCCCAAATATTCCCAAAACCTGTTGCAACCATTTATCGAACATTGCTGGTGTCACATGCATTTGTAAAGCTGTAGAATGCATCCTTGTTTTCGTCCCAACTCCACTATTATTTTTAATTACTTAAATACCCAAGTTGATCTTTGTCACTTCCACGAACATATAAAGTGCTTTAGTTTCTTTTTAACCATTACTTATTCATCTATGACTTCAATAGCAGTACATTCAATTTTGTGTTGCCGGTTTATTATCAACTACTGTTCAATGCAGAGGTGTGACAAGTCCATTAATTTACTTGTATTCACTTTCAAAGTGTCTTGTAGATATTTGTCAATGTGTACAGCCAAGCATCTTCAAAGTGTATGTAGCCATTTTCTAAAACAAATAATTTAAGTATGGAAACCTCATTTGAAAGTTAGGCAAACTGTTATGTCGCTCATCTGTCGATGGAGACATGAATAAAAATTTATTTAAACGCCTGGCCATCATTTTCGGTGTAGCATCAACAGTTTGGTAGACTTTTCAGGCAGACACCTTCATCACAATGGTAATTGTAGTAATTAAATACAAACACGAAAAAATAGTCTGAACAAGGATTTTCTGTCCAGTTAAAATCATATTTCAGCATGACTTATTTACACAGACCCCTTTCGTGATATCTAAAGTTTATAGCTGTGTTTGAACAATGCTTACAAAATCTTTTCGGTGACCAAAGTACAATATATTTGTTTATCATTATTTTTATCTTCAGCAAGTTGTGACGGAGTGAAAAACTATCTGTATGCTATGATATTACTGCAACAAGCCCATGACGTTCTGGTTCCTTTTTGTGGTGAAATAATTAAACATCAACATCAAACCCTATTACAAACTGTGCAACAGGAACACAATATCGCTATCATGACTTGTAGCGTATGTGAAATACAGACACTGAGTCCATATCATGTACGGACTGCAAAAAACTATTGCCCATTAGGTTATCACCGTTGCAACTGCCTTAAATCGAAAGAAACTTACGAATGTCCGACTAAAGTCTGTGGAACTATGTATGATGAAATAATAAAACTTCACATAAAGAGATCGCCTTCTATGATGAATCTTGACATTTCTAAATTGTATGAAGACCCGTGGGAGATCGCTAAATGTTTCATTCCCTACAGTTGTAATTTGGATTCGCTACAAGATACAGACCTATCTGGAATACTGTATATTATCATCAACAACAAATCGTTCAATGACAGAGTTACTACCATGGATCTTTTCAATGAAGTAAATATGTTTATCAAAAATCGATACAGTTCGCCTAAATTGATTGGTTATAAGTACTTTAAAGTTATATTAGTTTTCTGATATTTAAAACTTAAGCACAGAAGTTTCATATTATGAACTTTAATTTTTATGTCCCCGGGCATATAGTGATTGAACCGTCCGTCCGTCCGTCTGTCTGTACGAGGTTAACCTAGAACGGCAAGTTGGATTTTTCTTAAGTTCTACCTGTACCAATGGCTTCTAAGTTTACACACTTACTAATCAATACAAAGTACACAATCTGGGCAAGTTTCATAACTCTGGCTTTTCATATTTACCAATTTATTGCCCTTTTCAGCACTTAGAAAATGAATAATGGTTAACCTAAAACGCAATTTGGACAATATCTTAAATTCTATCTATACTAATGGCTTTATAATTTCCACACTTACTTATCAATACAAAGCACACAATATTGCCAAGTTATATAACTGTGTCATCCATTATTTCCCAGTTATTTCCTTTTTTTCACTTTGAAAATAGGGCCTTGTCTGGTTAACCTATTTCGGCAAGTTGGATTTATCTTAAATTTCTCCTAATTGCTTAATTTTCTTTACTTGATATCTTTCATATTTAGTAGGTGGATACCTTTGATGGTCCTCTAATTTGTTTTTAGAGTAAGCGGTCTCTAGGGTCAAGGTCACTGGTTTAAAAAAATAAATATAAACCTTTTTTGCTCATACAGCCTTTATTTTTTAGTTGATGTCTTAGTTTAATACAAAAGCCTCCTTCTTTGGGTGTAGTATGGGGTCATTTGGTGTCAAGGTCAATGTTACCAATGTCAAGGTCACCAATGTTAAAAAATTAGATTTTTACATTTTTACAGGTTATTGACCTTATTCTATAGACAGATGTTATTTATAATTGATAGAATCATAAAATTTGATGGAGTTAGTGGTCAGTTGGGTCAAGGTCACCAGTGCTAAAAATAGATTTTTACACATTTGCTCATACGACAGATATATTTTATATTTGGTAGGAAGATAATTGCATGGTATTCATCCTTTTGATTGGGGTAGGGATCAGTGGGTCAAGGTCACTTACAAGTGCTAAAAATAGATTTTTACACTTTTGCCCATACAGCTTTTATTTATTGACAGTTGTATTTCATATTTGGTAAGAAGATAACTTGCATGGTATTCTTCCTTTGGATGGAGTAAGGGGTCAGTTGGGTCAAGGTCACAAGTGCTAAAAATAGATTTTTACACTTTTGCCCATACAGCCTTTATTTATTGACAGATGTATTTCATATTTGGTAGGAAGATAACTTGCATGGTATTCTTCCTTTGGATGGAGTAAGGGGTCAGTTTGGTCAAGGTCACCAGTGCTCAAAATAGATTTTTACACTTTTGCCCATACAGCCTTTATTTAATGACATTAATGTATTTCGTATTTGGTAGGAAGATAACTTGCATGAAGTTGAATATTTTTCAACTTCACAAGTCAGAGCAATGACTTGGCAACTTATATTTTTCACAATTACAAAATGCCATGACTTTGTCAAGCAATAAAACTTGTGTTTACAATTTTTTGGTGATTTTTCTGTCCATAACTGAGTGAATGGGTAAACATTTACGAAGTATTGCTACTGACAAGAATCTGAGCCGGGGGCATTTGTGTTTAACAAACACGTTCTTGTTTTAAAGTTTATACTTACTCTGCATCAGGAACATTTATTTAATACCTTATAGAATGTTACTAATGAATTTCGAGCATTGTTTGCTAAACATTTGATTTTTACTCCAGGTTATAACAATTTTTTTTGTCCTATCTTAGCGGCCTGTCCACCAAACGGACTTTCCAGTAATCATTATATTACCAATTTCTCGATAAGTGACGGGCTATTAATCCTACATGATTTCTGAATGAGCGGTTAGAAATAAATGACTTTTAAACTAAATGTCTGAGAACAATTATAACTGAAAAACTTTGCCTTGTCCGAGGATGTAACGATCGACCTCTGAATTACAAATTCAATATTCTACGTATTGTGCTTTCCTGGTGCATTGTAATCATTTTTGTGTCGCCTCTACGGAGTAGTGGCGACATATAGGGATCACTTCTCCGTCGTCTGTCTGTCCGTCTGTCTGTCTGTCCGTCCGTCCGTCACAAAACTTGTCCGGACTACCCCTCATAAACTACTGGTGCAATTTCATCCAAACTTTACAGGAATGATCAGTATCAAGTCTAGTTGTGCATATTGTCAGCATTTTCCGGTTCAATGATTTTTGTCAGAGTTATGGCCCTTTAATAATTTTTTAATTTTAAAGTTTGTCCGGACTACTTCTCTTATACCACTAATGCAATTTCAATGAAACTCAGGGATTTGATCTGAGCTAAGCCTTGCGCCATAATTGCCCAAGGGGTTTTTCCGGTTTGAATTGATTTTTGGGCCGAGTTATGGCCCTTTTGAAAAAAAGTTGTTTCTGTGTGTTGCAATACACAATAGCTTGTCCGGACTACTCCTCATAAAACTACTGCGCTGCCAATTTCATCCAAACTTTACAGGATTGATCAGTTACCAAGGCTAGTTGGCACGATTGTCAAGCATTTTCCGGTTCAATGCATTTTGTCAGAGTTATGGCCCTTTAATAATTTTTATTTTTAAAGTTTGTCCGGACTCAGTTCTCTTATACTTACTTAATGCATTTCAATGAAAACTTTCAGGATTGATCTGTAGCTCAAGTCCTTGCGCATATTGCACGTTTTCCCGGTTGAATATTTTTGCTGAGTTATGGCGCTTTGACTAAAAAGCGTTGTTTTTTTCTGTGTGTTGCCAGATACACAAAAGCTTGTCCGGACTACTCCTCATAAGCTACTGGTGCAATTTTATCCAAATTTACATGATTGATCAGTACTTAGTCTAGTTGTGCACTGTCCTCTGTCTGTCCGTCTGTCACAAAATTTCCCACATAAATTGGCCATTATGAGCGACACATGTGATTACCGATGCTTCTTCGTTCGTTCTATTTTGTTAATTCCTCTATTCTAAATGACAAATTTTGAATTATTAATATAGTTACGAGTATTAAGAAACAATCTCATGCATAGTTCTTCCATGCTACTTGGGGATTCTGAATTTGCTTTCTATGAAAACTGTGTGATGAATTTGCTGAACATACCAGAATTGAAAAATAGACCTGAAACACATAAAGCACTGAAATCCTATGAAGAGGTTAGTATAAAACTTTTATTTTTAAAGTATACGTTAATGCGTTTCTTAAAATTATTGCCAGAATTTTGAGAGAAACATTCGAAAATACCTTTGAAAAATACATTGAAAATATTTTAGTAGAAATAAACACAAATGTTCACCTCTGCCATATTACACTAGTGATTGAAGGAACGGTTTAAAAAAAAAAAAAAAAAAAAAAACAAAAAAAAATTGCGCCTTCCTCTGTAAATTTTCAAATGTATGAACACTGCTCTTGGTCACCAAGGCTTATGAATTTATGTTTTAGAAATTTGTAGTTCAACCCTTCGAAAAGAAAAAAAAAAACGCAGCAAAGCCAGGTTTTTTTTAAATGCAGTGGTAACTTGTATGTTCCTTTCTTAAAATAATGTCCAAAGGCTGGACTTAACACTAGTGAAAAAGTACATTTTAATAAAATATTTTTGATTTAGATTATTTACCATGAATGTTTTATAAAGGTGTGTATTAAGTACATAGTACTAAGAGTGTCTTCCATGTCTTTTGTTTAAAATGAAGACAGCCAACATTCTGAGTCCGAGAGGGAGCATCTCTGAAATCGAGTCAGACTGGTATCATTTTTAGCTCTACTAATTTAACAAAAAATAGAGGCATTGTTACAATCAGTTCGGCGTTGCCGTTACCTTTGCAGTTGCCGCAAACTTGTACCTTGATCATAACTTTTTTTTAAGTTCTTGGTGTATTAACACTTCTCAACATAGATCTTGTTTTTGATTTTACGCCTTTCAGATTTGAAATGAATCTTGATGAAGCCAACAATTTTCAATGAGGTCGAGCATTATGTACAGTCAATATTTAATTGACCTGGACCTTTTACAAATGACTTAGGTACGTTTATCTAGTTGTAATTTTGAGAATTATATGGACCATATGTAGAAAGTTTATAGGTAAAAATGTTACAGTATTTCATTAATTTCTAATTAGCTTGAAATTGTTTTATTTATCAAAACATTTGGTGAAGGGAATTTGAATATTGTTCCGATTTTTCGAAGTCTTTAACCAAACTTTCAGGTGTTTTCAAAATTTCTCATATTTATATTCATTTTACTCCTTTTTTAATGTTTACGTGATTAATTCAATTTAAATTTAATGCCACATAAAGAATAACTCACCAAAAATTGAATATCTTAATGAGAATGACTGTTTAATGCAAAATTAAAATCGTTCTCCAAATTAGACTAAAATCTGACCTTGAAAAAGCCACTACACATGTATATATTGTTTAAAATTAACTTTACAATTCAAGATTTCAGTTGGCATAGGAATTTTGCGTGTTTGGTTACTTGGGTCCTATGATTCAAGGCGTGAAAAACTTCATTAGTAAGAAGACCCTTCTCCGAAAAACTTAGAAAATATACAGCCCACAGAGGATATTGATGTTCATCAGTGTATTGTGAAACCTAATGGAGACTGGGAAATGAAAGAGGACGGCAGATATAGAAAATATGGCATAGAGATATGGGATGTAGGAGGCAACTTTGTTAATTACGCAACTCATCAGGTGTTTTTCTCTACTCACGCAATTTACGTAATTGTATTCAACTTAAAGAAAGGTTTGGACGCACATGCAGGTAATAATTGTAATTTTGGCAAACACTCTACAAATACTGTCAAAGACAACATTTCACATTGGGTAAATTCGTTACATACTTTTGTCGGCACTAAAAATGGTAATTCCTTTGGGAAATTCCCTTTGTTGGAACACAAAAATGTGGATTTCAATATGAAACCCAAAAAAAAATTTTGGGTGACAAACACAGCCCCTAAAATTTTTTAAGAGTTTTTGCCCTTTTAACCATTTACATCAAAAAAAGTTTACCATTTTCAAACATATATTTAAAAAACGTACAGACATTTTTTTGAATTTTCGATCAAATCTTTTGGATTTTTGGAAAATCACAACTTAGTTTAAAAAAAAAAGAGAAAAAAAATTCCCCAACCCAAAAAGGAAGTACTAGCCCCAATAGAATAAAAAAACCTAAACATGGAAAATTTAAAAAAATCACATTAAAAAGAAACACAAAGACCCAAATAGACAAAATTTTTTACCGGGCATTAAAGGAAAATTAAAGGGTGGAAATCAAATGAATTGCCCGGATTTTTTTAAATATCAGCAAAGAACGAGGTGAATTTTGCTACTTCCATAAAGTGCCAAATCTCTCAAATTATGTGATAACAGATCCCATGCTCCTAGTGGTGGCTTTCAAACGTATAACATTAGCAAGCGATAAATGCAATAAACACCCAATCAATAATAAATGGAATCAACTTAAGGAAACTGCAATTCTACATCAAGATATTGTTGACGAGGCATGGAGAGAAAATTCAACTGAAGTTCGAAATGATTTGCTTTTAGAATTTTCAAAGGAGTGTCACATAATAGCATATTTACAATGCAACGCTTCTAGTGTAGTAAAACGTTATCTAATTCCAAGCTTTTTAAAGTCATCTGCAAAATGTAAAACAAAACGAGATGCAATCTATGCATTCCTTGAAGGTAAAATAAGTTCTGAAGTATCTCTTAAATATGAAGGTATACCCCAAAGAGTTTTAACAGTTCTGTTCAATAGAATACTTGCAGCTTTGATAAGTAAATGGCCTATTTGTAATTTTCAAAACGACCTTTTAATTTTTGATAGCCTTGTTGTATGCGAACCAAGAACGGATCATGCAATTTTACTTTTTCAAGGAAAGACAGGAATTGAACTTTTGACTGTCAATCTTTTTACAAAATGAAGGGCTCTTCAAAGGTATTTTGACGAGTATCCCAGATTTTTTAAAAAAAGCATTTTTTCAAGGAGCATGGGTCATAAACTAAATTTCCTTTT